CTCGTTCTTTGAAAAGATCAACAAAGTCAATAAACCATTGGCCAAACTGATAAAAGAAAAACAGGAGAGGATGCAAATAATCTGAATAAGAAATGAGATGAGCAATATCACAACAGACCCAACTGAAATTAAAAGAATCATAACAGAATACTATGAAAAATTGTATTCCAACAAATTTGAAACCCTACAGGAAATGAACAAATTTCTAGAAACATACTACCCACCTAAACTAACACAAACAGAGGTAGAACAACTAAATAAACCTACAACAAAACAAGAGATTGAAAAGGTAATTTAAAAACTCCCAACAACAACAACAAAAAAAACCCCTGGCCCTGATGGCTTCACTGGAGAATTCTATCAAACTTTCAGAGAAGAGTTAACACCACTACTACTAGAGGTATTTCAGAGCATAGAAAAGGATGAAATACTCCAAAACTCATTCTATGAAGTCAGAATAACCATGATACCAAAACCAGGTAAAGACACCACAAAAAAAAGAAAATTACAGATCAATATCCCTGATGAACATAGATGCAAAAATCCTCAACAAAATTCTAGCCAATAGAATTCAACAACATATCAAAAAAATAATTCACCATGACCAAGTGGGATTCATACCGGGTATGCAGGAATCGTTCAACATTAGAAAAATAATCAATGTAAAAAAGATGAGAACCACATGATCTTAACAATTGATGCAGAAAAGGCATTTGACAAAGTCTAACACCATTCATAATAAAAACTCTCAGCAAAGTAGGAATAGAAGGGAAATTCCTCAACATAATAAAGGGCATTTATACAAAGCTAACAGCCAACATCATCCAAAATGGAGAGAGTCTGAAAGCATTCTCCTTGAGAATGAGAACCAGACAAAGATGCCCTTTATCACCACTGTTATTCAACATTGTGTTGGAAGTCCTAGCCAGAGCAATAAGGCAAGAAAAAGAAATAAAAGGCATCCAAATTGGTAAGGAAGAAGTAAAAGTACCTCTATTTGCCGATGATATGATCGGATACATGGAAAACCCCAAAGAACCCACAAAAAAACTACTGGAACTAATAGAACATTTCAGCAAAGTATCAGGACACAAGACAAACATACAAAATTCAGTCGGATTCCTCTACATCAACAAAGAGAACTTCCAAGAGGAAATCACCAAATCAATACCATTTGCAATAGCCCCCAGGAAGATAAAATACTTAGGAACAAATCTAACCAGAGACGTGAAAGTCCTGTACAAAGAAAACTACAAGACACTACTGCAAGAAATCAAAGGAGACCCACATAAGTGGAAAAACATACCTTGCTCATGAATAAGAAGACTCAACATTGTGAAAATGTCAATTCTACCTAAAGTGATCTACAGATACAAGGCAATCTCAATCTAAATTCCAACATTTTTTAATGAGATGGAGAAACAAATCACCAACTTCATATGGAAAGGGAAGAGACCTCAGATAAGTAAAGCATTACTGAAGAAGAAGTACAAAGTAGGAGGCCTCACAATACCTGATTTTAGAACTTATTATACTGCCACCATAGTCAAAACAGCCTGGTACTGGTACAAAAACAGATACATAGACCAATGGAACAAAATTGAGAATCCAGACTTAAATTCATCCTCCTATGAGCAGCTGAGATGTGACAAAGGCCCAAATTTTGTTAATTGGGGAAAAGACAGTCTCCTTAACAAATGGTGATGGCATAACTGGATATCCATCTGCAAAAAAATCAAATAAGACCCATACCTCACACCATGTACAAAAACTAACTCAAAATGTATCAAAGACCTAAATATGAAATCTAAAATGATAAAGATCATGGAAGAAAAAATAGGGACAACACTAGGAGCCCTAATACATGGTATAAACAGAATACAAAATGTAACTAGCAGTGCATAAACACCAGAAGAGAAACTAGATAACTGGGCGCTCCTAAAAATCAAACACTTATGCTCATCAAAAGACTTCACCAAAAGAGTAAAAAGACAACCTACAGACTGGGAAAAAAAGAATTTTGGCTACAACTTATCAGATCAGGGTCTAATCTCTAAAATCTACAAGATACTGTAAAACCTCAACAACAAAAAGACAAATAACCCGATTAAAAAATAGGCAAAGATATGAACAGGCACTTCACCAAAGAAGACATTCAGGCAGCTAACAGATACATGAGGAAATGCTCATGATCATTAGCCATGAGAGAAATACACCCCAACACGGCTAGCTTTAATCCAAAAAACACAAAATAATAAGTTTTGGAGAGGTTGTGGAGAGAATGGAACACTTATACACTGCTGATGGGAATGTCAAATGGTACAGCCACTTTGGAAATTGATTTGGTGCTTCCTTAAAAAGCTAGAAATAGAAGTACCATATGATCCAGCAATCCCACTCCTTGGAATATATCCCAGAGAAATAAGAGCCATCACACGAATAGATATATGCACACCCATGTTCATTGCAGCACTGTTCACAATAGCAAAAAGATGGAAACAACCTAGGTGCCCATCAACAGATGAATGGATAAATAAATTATGGTATATTCACACAATGGAATACTACCCAACGATAAAGAACAATGATGAATCTGAGAAATATCTCACAATGTGGATGAATCTGGAAGGCATTATGCTGAGTGAAAGTAGTCGCAAAAGAACAAATATTGTATGAGACCACTATTATAAGAACTCAAGAAAAGGTTTAAACACAGAAGAAAACATTCTTTGATGGTTACGAGGGTGGGGAGGGAGCGAGAGGGAAATTCACTAACTAGATAGTAGACAAGAATTATCTTAGGTGAAGGGAAGTACAACACACAATACAGGGGAAGTCGGCACAACTGGACTAAACCAGAGGCTAAGAAGTTTCCTGAAGACAACCAAACACTTCAAGGAACAGAATAGCAGGGGCAGGATGGCCTGGGGACCATGGTTTCAGGGGACATCTAGCTCAATTGGCATAAAAAAGTTAATTAAGAAAATGTTCTGCATGCCACTTTGGTGAGTGGCATCTGGGGTCTTAAAAGATTTTGAGCAGCCTTCTAAGATGCATCAGTTGGTTCCAATCCACCTGGATCAAAGGAGAATGAAGAATACCAAAGACACAAGGAAAATATTAGCCAAAGAAACAAAAGGTCCAACAGAAACCAGAGACTCTATCAGCCTGAGACCAGAAGTACTAGATGGTGCCCAGCTATCACCAATGACCGCCCTAACAGGGAACACTACCTGACAGAGCAGGAGAAAAGTGGGGTGCAGAACTCAAATTCACATAAAAAGACCAGACTTAATGGTCTGACTGAGACTAGAGGAACTCCAGAAGACAGGGGCCCCGGACTCTCTGTTAACCCAGAATTAAAAGCGTTCCCAAAGCCAATTCTTCAGACAAAGATTACACTGGACTATAAAATATAAAATAATACTCGTGAAGAGTGTGCTTCTTAGTTCAAGTAGATACATGAGACTAAATGGGCAGCTCCTGTCTGGAGGCAGGATGAGAAAGCAGAAAGGGATAGGAGCTGGTTGCATGGACATGGGAAACCCAGGGTGAAAAACGGGAGTGTGTTGTCACATTATAGGAATTGCAACTAGGGTCACATAACAATATGTGTATAAATTTTTGTATGAGAAATTAACTTGAGCTGTAAACTTTCACCTAAATCACAATTTTAAAAAAAAAAAAAAGAGTAAGAAACCAGAATTGTCTAAGACTCAAGAATCGAGTCCTTCAGGAAAAGGACAAATAGTAGAAGGTAGTATAGTACTCATTCCTTCAGTAAACATTTATTGAGGGCCTATTTTGTTTCTAGCAGTGTGCGTTTGCAGTTTGGAGGTACAAAGTTGAATAAGACACAGCTCCTGTGCTTGAGACAGTCACACCCAATTATGGATTGAATTGTGTCCCCCAAAAATGTGTGTCAACTTGGCTAAGCCATGATTCCCAGTATTGTGTGGTTGTCCTCCATTTTGTGATCTGATTATTTATCTTATGTGTTATAAATCCTAAACTCTATGATGTTAATGAGGCAGGATTAGAAGCAATTATGTTAATGAGAGAAGACACAATCTACAGGATTAAGTTATGTCTTGAGTCAATCTCTTTTGAGATATAAAAGACAGAAGTGAGCAGAGAGGAGAGAGACTTCCTACCACCAAGAAAGCAGGGCCGGGATCAGAGCTCGTCCTTTGGGCCTGGAGTCCCTGCGCTGAGAAGCTCCTAGACCAGGGGAAGATTGATGACAAGGACCTTCTTCCAGAGCCAAAAGAAAGAGAAAGCCTTCCCCTGGAGCTGGTGCCCTGAATTCAGACTTCTAGCCTCCTAAACCATGAGAGAATAAATTTCTGTTTGTTAAAGTCACCCACTTGTAGTATTTCTGTTAAAGCAGCACCAGATAACTAAGACAGAATTTGTATGGAATGCCTCACGAATTTTTCATGTTATCCTTGCACAGGGGCCATGCTAATCTTCTCTGTATCGTTCCAATTTTAGTATATGTGCCGCAAATTTCTGTTTGTTAAAGTCATCCACTTGTAGTATTTCTGTTATAGCAACACTAGATAACTAAGATGGAATTTGGTACCGGAAGAGTGGGATGCTGTTCTAACAGATACCTACAATGTGGAAGTGGTTTTGAAATTGAGTAATAGTAGAGGCTGGAAGAGTTTTAAAGTGCCTAACAGTAAAAGCCTGGATTGCCTTGAAGAGACTGTTGGTGGAATTATGGACATCAAAGGCAATTCTGGTGAGGACTCAGAAGGAAGTAAGGAGAGCTGTACCACAGAGATGACACAGACAGCGAGAAGCAGCAGCAGAGAAATGGCAGCAGCAGAACCAGGAGACTGGCATGAGGTGCAGGAGCTGACTCATGGAGCAAGAGAGCTGAGATCCTTCAGGCAGGAGCCTTCCTAGCAGAGTGGGGTGCCTCTGGGCACTTATCAGTAGAGCTAAAGAGCTTTGTAACACTTGCCCTAGCAGGCCAGCTCAAGAGGTCCAAGGGGCCAAGAGACCAAGGAACCAGGAAGCAGAAGTCAAAGAGACAAAGAGCACAGGAAGCAGAGCTGCCTGAGTCTCAAAGGGTAGTGCCACGATGTCTGAGGTCTCAAAGGGTGAGGTCACGGCCTCCTAGGTTTCAAAGAGTCAGATCTTCACCAACTCAGTTCAGGAGTGTTGGGCTGCCCTTCAGGAGTGCCAGCAGGATGGCACTGGATCCGCTGTCCAAAGCTGAGTGGGTGGGGCTGCCATGTCCAAGGGGCAGAAGAATGGGGCCTGCAGAGCCGAGGGGGTAGGGTCACCATTCAGATGGACTAGGAGAATGGGGCCACCCAAATCCAAGGGAGCCCAGTTACCCTCCCAGTAAGCCTGGAATGCAGAGCTGAAGCCCAGGGCTGAGAAGCCTCCACTCAGAATCTGGAGATTGTGGCCAACACCCAGAGTCTGGAGGGCAGGGCCATTGCCCAAATGATCTCAGAGAACAGAAGATTATTTGCAAGCCTTGAGAGCTAACGTAATGTGTTCTGCTGACTTGCTTGATGCCTGTTATCCCGTCTTTCCCTCTGACTTCTCCCATTTGTAATGGAAATATCTACCTTGTACCTGTTCCACCATTGTACTTTGGAAGCAGATAATTTGTATTCTAGATTTCACAGATGAAGAGGAACTTTGCCCCAGGTTGGAATTTGAACTTGTAGTTAAGACTTTTGGGATGATATGATGGGGTGAATATGTTTTACATGTGACAAAGACATGAATTTTTGGGGGCCAAAGGATAGAATGTTATGGATTGAATTGTGTCCCCGCTAAAACATGTGTCACCTTGGCTAGGCCATGATTCCCAGTATTGTGAGGTTGTCCTCTGTTTTGCGATCTAATGCATTTATCCTATGTCTTGTGAATACTAACGTCTATGATGTTAATGAGGCAGGAATAGTGGCAGTTATGTTAATGAGGCATAACATAATCTACAGGATTAAGTTATGTCCTGAGTCAGTCTCTTCTGAGATGAAAAGAGATAAGCGAGCAGAGAGGAGAAGGAACTCCTACCACCAAGAAGGCAGAGCCAGGAGCGGAGCATATCCTTTGGACTCGGGGTCCCTGCTCTGAGAAGCTCCTAGACCAGGGGAAGATTGATGACAAGGACTTTCCCCCAGAGCCGAAAGAGTAAGCCTTCCCCTGGAGCTGGCACCCTGAATCTGGGCTTCTAGCAACCTAAATTGTGAGAGAATAAATTTCTGTTTGGTAAAGTCATCCACTTGTGGTATTTCTGTTATAGCAGCAGCAGATAACTAAGACAAACCCCAACATGCAAACAAACAACACTCTCTTGCCCAAGAGAGTGGGTAGCTTAATTCTGGGGATAACAATGGGGAACTTCTGGGAAGAATCTGAAGAAGACTGTTAAGAGATCAGTGAGATGAAATAAAAATCAAAGAATAAGCTGAGGAAATCAAGGGTGAAAACAGTTATGAATAATAAAAAAAAAAAAGGTTGAAATGCTATGACCTAGGCTTTGGCCTAATCTCCCTGTATTTAGAGGGACACATTTAAACCTGAGGTATATAAATGGGGGTTTAAGGCCCCACTGTCTCTGGATCTCAGCTGAGATGCCTACCAGCACTGCCCCTGGTAGTGGATCCTGTGATGTGCCACCCAGATCCCCTTCAGGAACAAAGGACTTATCTTCCTCGCTGCCGGGAGCTGCCAGCAGACAGCTCTCAGATGTCAGTCCTCTCCAGGTATTGACTTGGCTCAAGAGAGTTAACGTACCCAAGACCACATGGCCATGCCAGGGAGGCCTGAACCCAGTGCCTGGTCCGCCCAAGGGTATAAAGGAGCAGCCCTCTTTCCACCAACTCAGGGCAACGCTGAGGGATGCTTTCAGCTTCTGAGCTTCCTATGGGGTTGGCTGAGGCCTTTCTTTGAGATGGTATCCCAGCCCAAATTCTCCCTCTACCCAGTTCTGTTTCTTTCTCTTCCCCAAAACACTCCGTAATAAATATCCAACACACTGATCTCCATCTCAGAGTCTGCTTCCCAGGGAGCCCAAACTGCCAACAGCTTTCCTCAGACTATAAACAAACTGCTAGAAAATACCAGTAATCAGAGAAACTTCACAACCTATAAACGAAACAGTTGCCACAAAGCCAATTCCAATTCATGACCACCCCATATGTTGCCGAGTAGAACTGCACTCCATAGGGTTTTCAAGGCTGTAACTTTTCAGAAGCAGATCACCAGGCCAGTCTTCCGTAGGCACCTCTGGGTAGGTTCCAATTGCCAATCTTTCATTAGTAGTCAGATGCTTAACCATTTGCACCACCCAGGGACTCATTCACAACCTAAAACTGGATTAAAAAACAGATTACCCCATAATTTGTTTATTCCCAGGTCATCACCCAAAGACATTTTAAAAAATTCTTGTTTATCTTTAGAGTTGAAGCTGCAGCCAAGTTAAAATTGAGAGTATGTTTTCTCCACGTCCTGAACATACTTTGATCCTAATTTACATGTAAACACAAAAGGTTAACTGAGGTTAGCCAAGACATGCCTTCTCCCCAGAATCTTTGGAGGATTTTGTCTCTCGATCTGGCTGCAAAATGTATCACAATGGAATTTCTTGCTAGACTAAATGTTGGGGATTCCTAAAAAGGCAGGAATCGAAATCAGACAAAAGTAAGATTTTTTATGAAACTCCCTGCATATTTTAGCAAACAGATGCTCGAATGACATTGTGCAGACTTGGCCACGAGGCATTATGCAACCAGCAGAAACGGAGGGAACTGGCCTGCTGTCTGCCCTGGAGGTAGCTCTGTCTTCCTGCTTGAGAGTAGGTGCAGGAAATTGCAGAGTCGCTCCTTGTTCTCTCATCCTCTCATCTTCTCCACCCTTATCGTTCTCCAAAGGAGACACTTGCAGAATTCAAAAGATCTGGATAGCATTCTAGACTAAACGGCTCTTTAAAAACAACCCCAAAGTGTGACAGAAGGGCCAGCTTTGGGTCCTTGACATGGTTTACATATGTTATGCTTCAGAGGTTGAAGGAGTTGAATGGGCACAGTTCAGGAAACCACATTTCCTTCTGGCCAATGTAGCTCGGGTTTACCAGGGGTTTCTGGCTGCCTTTCCTGCCTGCTTTGCTCTTATCCACCCTGCCCTGTTCTCAGGCTTAACTTTGGAGTCTGCTCTCCCTGCTCCTAAGAAATCGTGTGTTACAACTTCACTGTTCAGCCAAGGAAAGGATAATTTGCTTATGCATCAAGTATTTTTTAAACTCTTAACTTACGCCAGGATGTGTCAGGGTGAGCTGTGTGGGCACTGAGGAGCATAAAGCAAATAACGGAAGGCAAATGCCTTGTCATGCGATTTTTTACATGTCTGTACATTTTTACGTCACCTTTCAGAGTAATGAGGCTGAGCCTTCCCCCCACCCCTTAAGAGGAAATTTTAATGATATTATCTCAGGCCCTAGTTACATCATAAAATTATCTCCATTATCTTTAGAGCTGTAGTAGGCGGGTTAATTTGGTTATAAGACAAATTGTCTGGAAAAATATGTATGGGATGTGAAGAAATGATTTTGAATATAAAAGGATATTATGATATTGTAAATGTAAAAAGCATATATATATATGGACAAGGCCTAGGGATTGACATAGGCAAATGAAAATATTGATTTAAACTTCATGATTGTATTGTACTTACTATGTGCTTGTCTAAGTACAAGTTTTGACCAAGAGTCAGTATTGGTGGAACTTTTGTTCCAAACCTGTATAGACCAAGAGGCAGTCATTTGAACAGAACAAGCGGATACTGTATGGTTTAAAGTCAGGAAAGGTGTGCATCAGGGCTGTATCCTTTCACCATACTTATTTAATCTGAGCAAGTAATCCAAAAAGCTAGACTATATGAAGAAGAACGGGGCATCAGGATTGGAGGAAGACTCACTAACAACCTGCAATATGCAAATGACACAACCTTGCTTGCTGAAAGTGAAGAGGACTTGCAGCATTTATTAATGAAGATCAAAGACCACAGCCTTCACTATGGATTACACCTCAACATAAAATAAAAACCTCACATCTGGCCCAATAAGCAACATCATGATAAAAAGAGAAAAGACTGAAGTGGTCAAGGATTTCGTTTTACTTGGATCCACAGTCAATGTTATGGAAGCAGCAGGCAAGAAATCAAAAGACAAATTGCATTGGGCAAATCTGCTGCAAAAGATCTCCTTAAAGTGATAAAAAGCAAAGGTGTCACTTTAAGGACTAAGGAGTGACTGACCCAAGCCATGGCATTTTCAATCACCTCCTATGCATGTGAAAGCTGGACAATAAGGAAGACTGAAGAAGAATCGATGCCTTTGAATTATGGTGTTGGCAAAGAATGTTGAATATACCATGGACTGCCAGAAGAATGAACAAATCTGTCCTGGAAGAAATACAGCCAGAATACTCATTAGAAGCAAGGATGGCGAGATTTTGTCTTACTTACTTTGGACATGTTATTAGGAGGGACTGTCCCTGGAGAAAGACATCACGCTTGGTAAAGCAGAGTATCAGTAAAAAAGAGGAAGACCCTCAGTGAGTCGGATTGACACAGTGGCTGCAACAATGGGCTCAAACATAGCAATGATTGAGAAGATGGCGCAGGAATGGGAAGTGTTTCTGTTCTGTTGTACATAGGGTCCCTACAAGTTGGAATCGATCTGATGGCACCTAACAACATGTTACTGCTTGAGAGGTTAAGCAAGTCTCTCAGGTTCACACAGGCAGTGAGTAACAGACTAGGAACTGGAACCCAGGTCTATCTGGTGACAAAGTCAGTGCTCTTAACCATATCTCTCCCACATACCACTATGTTGGAGGTACCCAGGGCCAACTTCACCTCTTGGTCTTTCCTGGAACTACTTCCCTGAAATCTGGCCAACCTCTTGGGAGGAGTCATGGAAGCAAGACAGATGAACTCTATAAATAGACAATCTGGATTCCAAGTCCAGTGTTGCCATTTACTAGCTCTGTCACCTTGGGCAGATCCCTTAACCTTGCAAGGCCTCGGTTTCCTCACCTATGCAATGGAAAATGTTGTTTATGCACCATGGCGCACGGATCTATAAAAGAACTAGAGTTAAAGATAAAGTGATAGGCAAATGTTAGTTACTTTTATCTGCCCTTAACCCACTAATTCAAGAAAACTAGATGGTAGCTCTTTCTCAGCCTCCCCTCTGCTCTCATCCTCAGAGTTGCTGGCCACCATCAGAGTTCCATCAATACCACTCCTCCTGTCTTCCTCCTCCCTAGTGGCTGCTGCTTAATTTCCCCTTCATTTCAGTAGTTCTTGCCTCAAAGGAACACCTGGCCTTGGGTGCTCGAAATCTACCTACGGTCCTACTCTCCTTCCGACTCTGGGTACGAGGACCTCTCCTCTGGACCTAGTGCGTCAGTGCCGAGCTCTTCGCTCCTGTACTCGGCGCTGCGCAATTACTAACGCATGATGCACTTCCGGACGCGCGTCCCGCCCCTCGGGGAGGGTGTGACCCAAGAGTTTAGATAGGAGGCTCCTGCTGTGGGGAACACTCCACCGCCCTCGGAGCTTCTTCTGCTGCACAGCCTGTCAGCCAGAGCCGCTGGCGGAGCGGCCGGGGGCTCCTTTGCACCCGGGCGCCAGAGCCCTCGCCCTCCCGCAGCCTTCTCCCAGGCCCGCCGCGCGCACCCACCATGAGGCCGCCGTTCTACCGCTGCCACAACATTACCTCGGTGGAAAAGGGCAACTCGGCGACGATGGGTGGGGTACTGTTCAGCGCGGGCGTCTTAGGCAATCTGCTGGCCCTGGGGCTGCTGGCCCGCTCGGGGCTGGGGTTGCACCTGCCGCGCCAGTCACCCTCAGTCTTCTTCGTGCTGGTGTGTGGTCTGACGGTTACCGACTTGCTGGGCAAGTGCCTCTTGAGCCCTGTGGTGCTGGCCGCCTACGCGCAGAACCGGAGTCTGAGCGGGCTGTTGCCCGCGTCGGGCAGCTTGCTGTGTCAAGCCTTCGCCTTCTTCATGTCCTTCTTCGGCCTTGCCTCGATGTTGCAGCTCCTGGCCATGGCGCTGCAGTGCTGGTTGTCTCTGGGGCACCCCTTCTTCTACCGACGGCACATCACCCTGCGCCGGGGTGTGCTGGTGGCGCCGGTCGTGGGCGCGTTCTGCTTGGCTTTCTGCGCGCTGCCCTTCGCGGGCTTCGGAGAGTTCGTGCAGTACTGCCCTGGCACCTGGTGCTTTATCCAGATGGTCCACGAAGAGGGCTCGCTGTCGGTGCTGGGCTACTCCGTGCTCTATGCCAGCCTCATGGCCCTGCTGGTCTTGGCCACCGTGCTGTGCAACCTGAGCGCCATGCGCAACCTCTACGCGATGCACCGGCGGCTACCGCGGCGCCCGCGCTGCGGCACCAGGGGCTGCCCGGAGCCGGGCGCCGGCGAGAGGGAGGCGTCCCCGCAGCCATTGGAGGAGCTGGATCACCTCCTGCTGCTGGCCCTCATGACAGGGCTCTTCACCATGTGCTCCCTGCCTTTAATTGTGAGTCGCTTGGCGCCGAGGCTCCGTGGGTTTGGGGGTCTCCGGCCGCGAGCGCCTGGCGGGAAGGATGGAGCCTGTTTAGACCGGGCGCAAGAGGAGCTGCGCGGCGGGCGGGAAAATTTGTTGCTGCGCTCTGCAGATCAGTTCCTTCCACAGTCCTGAGATAGAACCCATTTGTTGAGCGAGAAGAGAAAAAGAGAAAGGAAGGGAAAGACCGAGACTGAGGATGCCCCCTTAGCCCAGCAGAAACCCCTCCTCTCTGCTTCCCTCCGGGTAGACTGAGTCGTTTTAGCGCCCCTGAACTTTGAGGAACACAGCTTGGTTCCTCCAGAGCAGTATGGATCCTCTCATTCTTCCCGTTGACTGGGTAGTGTTTATTTCTTTAATCGGTAATCCTGTCTGTGATTTTAGTGGTATCAGAAATGGGTGTATGGCGAATGGGGGTTCTCCTCCGGGGTGTTGGCGTGGAACTGGGATGGGGAAAGTTTAGTCCTGCCGGAGTGATTTGCAGAGGTGAGTGACGTTTAGTTTTGGAAAACTTCGTGCGTAAACTTTGAGAAGCGGCGGCTGCTGTTAGAGGCGGCGCCGCTGCTGAGATGGTGGCGGCCGAGGTTGAGAGACTGTTTTGACAGAAGATGTGTGAGTGTGTTTCAGCCAGTGGTGTCGTTGTGGTAACCTGTCTCGACAGGTTTTCTTTCTATCTTGGCAAGTAAGGTGACATGGAAGCCATTATCTCCGTTTTCAATTTACTAATGGGGGGGTGGAGGTTGAATTACCTCGTAGTTTTGAAGGTATTCCTTCCAGGGGTCCCCGCCAAGACAGCTGGGAGTGGCTGAGGCTTGAGAAAACCTTTTCAGTATTGCTCCCCTACAGCACCCCCCCCCCCGCCCCAGGGTACCTATCCAGCAAGAACAATATTTAAAATACATTGCATTGCCAAACCAACGTCTGCGGAGTCTCAAGACTTCTGTGATTAGGGAAGTTTCTTACAGCAGTGTAGCAATTTGGGATGCTACTCTCAGTGCTGGTTGAAATAGAAATATACTGTGATTTTTCCCTTAAATGTAGGCTTTAATGTGCGGGGGAAGAGTTTTTTGTAGCACCACCATACAGGGTTAAGATCCAAACTCCCTCCAAATAAATAGATATATATAGATTTAAAAAAAAAAAAAAAAACCATTGCCATCAAGTCTATTCTGACTCATAGCGACACGCTGCTATATGCCTGTATCTATATTTCATAGCTATGGGGTCACTATGAAATACAAATATAGACATAGGCATATAGCGGTAGTTGTCAAGCTTTAGCATGCTCAGACTCATCCGAATGGTTTTTAAAAACACAAATGACTGAGCCCAACCTCCTAGAGTTCTACTTCAGATGCTTTTTAAGAATTTGCATTCTTAACAGGTTCCCAGGTGATGTTGATGCTGCTGATCCAGGAAGAACCACACCCTAAAGCAGGAACTGGAAAACTAGGAAGGCGGGAGGGGAAGAGGGTGGGAGGAGAGGGGAGGGGAATAGGCCTGCCTGCCATTTTTGAATAGTCCTGGAGTTAAGAATTTCCTTTTATAGATGAACATTTGCAATTAATTTGATGATGGGGAACACAAAATTTGAACCCCAATTACGTGAAATTAAAAAATTCCATTCTTCTCATTAGTAGTCCTGTATTGTGAAATATTGTACTCAATTATCATTAGATTTTAAATTTCATCAATAAAAAAATGTTTTCTCTCTTGTTATACAAGTACATACCAAATAGTCTCGATTTTGCCTCTTGGCCCCAAAACCAAACCCATTGCAGTTGAGTCAATTCCAACTCATAGCGACCCTATAGACTCATAGGGACCCTATAGAACGGAGTAGAACTGCCTCATAGGGTTTCCAAGGAGCGGCTGGTGGATTGGAACTGCCTACCTTTTGGTGAGCAGCCATAGCTTGCCCTAGCTTTTAACCACTGTGCCACCCGGGCTCCACCTCTTGGCCCCGGAAAGCCTAAAATATTTTGTACATGGCCCTTTAAAGAAAAACTTTTGCTGACTCTTCCTCTAAATATGAGCCTTACTTACATATGTTGCTGTTGGTGTTGTTGTTAGGTGCCATGGAGTTGGTTCCGAGAACAAAACACTGCCCGTTCCTGCACCATCCTCACCATCTTTGCTATGTTTGAATACATGGTGATTATGTCCTGGGTTCCAACTCATAGCGACCCTGTGTGTGTATATTATATATGTATATATACACACACATCTGTATATATACATATATATGTATATATAGATACATATATAGATATAGATATATAGATATATCACCTAGGCCAGTACCTGGCTTCATTAATTAGTATCCCTATTATTACTAATAATACTTCTATTTATTACTATTACCTGCTAGACTCAGAAAATTAATCAAGAAATATGACCTCCTGGGAAGACAGCATTATATTATAGGGCAATGATTCTCAAACTCTTTTGGTCTAGGACCCAAAGACTATATGTATATATATATAAAACTTATCATATGAGAACTTAAAAATAAGAAATTTTAAAAATATTATTGCTGAAAAAGATAACAGTGTACTTCTCGGTGTGTTTCTGCATAGGTGCAGGGAAAACTGGGATTTCAAAATAATGATTTATTGAATGATATTATTAAATGATAATAGATTATAGAGAGCCCTGGTGGCGCAGTAGTTAAGAGCTCGACCGCTTAGCAAAAGGTCAGCTGTTCGAATCTACCAGCTGCTCCTTGGAAACCCTACAGGGCAGTTCTACTCTGTCCTGTAGGGTCACTGTGAGTCGGAATCAACTTGATGGCAACAGGTTTGTTTTTTGGTTTTTTTTTTTTAATAGGTTATAGATACTATAGCAGGTAAAACATAAGAAAGCATTTAAGAACACGATAGAAGTACTGAGAACAGGCAATTAATCTCTGAACATGCACAAATTTATGCTCTAAACCTACTACCTTAGAAAGAGCTAGAATACACAAGCACTTCATCACATGTCATTAGTCTCTGGAAAATTCTCACTTATGAGGCAATGAAAGTGAAAAAGTCAAATAACATCTTAGTGGTTTTGTGAAAATAGTTTTGACCTCACAGACACTGAAACGATATTGGGGACCCTCATCCTTAAGAAATCACTCTTTCAGTGCTTAAAAAAAAAAAAGGCTGTGTCTAAATACTTTTTAAGGAAAAAAAGAACTTAAAAAAAAATCTTACCACAGCATAGATATTGTATTGCATTAAACTCATTAAGCTTGTGAAAAGCTAATTGGATGATTTTTTTTTATTAACTTTGCTATTTTGGATTAGAATTAGATACTGATTTGATACAGTAGGAAGAAAGTACAGAGAATATGGGACTGAGCAGTCTGTAGTATATCCTCTAATGTGTAAAAATATTTTCATCAAAATTATTTTTACCTTAGAAAACCATAATATATTGGTGGTTGATGGGTTAGGGATGGATGAGAGAGGGTGTTGGTGTATAGTTTAGACTCAACAGATGAGAGTTTTAAAAGCTGAGCAAAGGTACATACAAGCTTGCATAATAGCATGTATCAGACTCTGTGAAGTCAGGGAAATGGCAGAGGACATGTGCATGTATAGCTCTTGTGTGTATTCCAATTTGGTATGCAAAATGAATGGGTGGAGATGCTTTTCTATCCTAAGGAAGCTGTTAGAGGCATGTAAGGGATGGTAGGTATGAGATGGGCCCAAGCAAAGGGGTGTGAAGACAGTTTAAAGGGCTAGAGCAGAAGGTGAGGTCTCTGGTGTTGTGATGGATGGGCTAGATAGAAGAGGTCTTCAGCATCAAGAATGCTTTCCCTAGCATGGATGTCCAACCAAGGTAAGGCTGTCCAACTGGCAACAGCGGCATTTTTTTTCATGGACTCCTAAATTCATCAGCAGGTGCTTTTCTTAACCAATTCTATTTGTATAAATTGAGCTACTTTTAAAATTCCAAGCCACTATGGAAAATGATATGGCACTTCCTTAGAAAGCTAGAAATAGAAATACCATACGATCCAGCAATCCCACTCCTAGGAATATAACCTAGAGAAATTAGAACCATCACACGAATAGACATATGCACACCCATGTTCATTGCAGCATTATTCACAATAGCAAAAAATGGAAACAACTTAGTGCCCATCAGAAGATGAATAGATAAATGAACTATGGTACATACACACAATGGAATACTCTGCAATGATAAGGAACAATGACAAATCTGCAAAACATCTCACAACATGGATGAATCTGGAGAGCATTATGCTGAGTGAAATAAGTCAATCACAAAAGGACAAATATTGTATGAGACCACTATTATAAAAACTCAAGAAAAGGCTTACACACAGAAAAAAAAATCTTTGTTGGTTACTAGCAAGGGGAGGGGAGGGCTGGGGAGGAGAAATCACTAACTAGACTAACTAGATAGTAGATAAGTGTTAACTTTAGTGAAGAGAAAGACAACACACAAAATAGGGGAAGTCAGGACAATTTGACCAAGGCAAAGTCATCGAAGCTTCTTAGACACATCCAAACACCTTGAGGGACTGAGTTACTGGGGCCTAGGGCTAGGGACCATGGTCTTGGGGGACATCTAGGTCAAATGGCATAACATAGTTCATAAAGAAAATGTTCTACATCCTACTTCAGTGAGTAGCGTCTGGGGTCTTAAAAGCTTGCGAGGGGCCAGCTAAGATACATCTATTAGTCCCATCCCATCCGGAGTAAAGGAGAATGAAGAAAATCAAAGACACAAGGAAAAATTTAGTCCAAAGGACTAATGGACCACAGGAACCACAGCCTCCACCAGCCTAAGCCCAGATGAACTAGATGGTGCCTGGCTACCACCACTAACCACTCTAACAGCGGTCACAATAGAGGGTTCAGAACAAGGCAGGAGAAAAATGTAGAACAAATTCAAATTCACAAAAAAGACCAGACTTTCTGGTCTGACAGAGACTGGAGGAACCCCCGAGTCTATAGCCCCTAGACACCCTACTAACTCAGAACTGAAGCTACTTCTGAAGTCCACCTTTCAGCCAAAGATTATAACAAAGAATAACACACACGAGGAACGTGCTTCTTAGTTCAATAAAGTATACGAGACCAAACAGGCAACACCTTCCCAAAAGCAAAGACAAGAAGGCAGGAAGGGACAGAAAACCTGGATGAATGAACACAGGGAAACTGGGATGTAAAGGGAAAAGGGGGGGGGGGACTGCTGACACATTGTGGGGATTGCAACCAATGTCACAAAACAATTTGTGCATAAATTTTAAATGAGAAACAAATTTGCACTGTAAACTTTCACCTAAAGTGCAATAAAATTAAAAAAAAAATTCCAGGTGTAGAATATACTTCTAATACAAATCAAATGACTTGAGAATACAAATAACCTAATAATATGCAAAAGAATTGGCATAGATAAGTACTGCTTAACAATAAAATGCATTTTTTAAAAATTATACAACTATCCTTAAGTTAGCCAAACAAACCAGTTGTTGTGGAGTCTATTCCAACTCATGATGACCTCATGCATGTCAGAGTAGAACTGTGCTCCATAGGATTTTCATTGTCTGGTATTTTGGGTGTAAATTGCCAGGACTTTCTTGTGAAGCACCTCTGGGTGAACTCAAACCTCCAACCTTTCAGTTAGCAACTGAGCCTCTTAGCCATTTGCACCACCCAGGGACTCCTTCAGTTAGCCAGATCCCAACTTACCAAGCATTCTCCAATAGTTGGAATTATATTTGCTGTACTCCACTTTGAGGAGAAAGAGGCAGATGTAAAGACACAGTCATGTAAAGTGTTTGCTTTTTAAATTAACCTAAGTGTATAGCCTATTGTCATCCATTTATCCATTCATCACATATCTGGTAGTTACAACATCCAAGACACTCTGTAATCCATTGAGAGGGGTATAAAAGGAGAAAAACATCACATCTGCACATGTAAGCTGCAATACCAAGGTTGTGGAGGGAACAATTGAGGCCACAGGCAAGTTTAGAAGAGGGTAGGAGTCACTCCTAAGTAACACAGTAATAATACTAGTTATTGAGTACTTGTATACTAGAACCTTTCGTCAAGGTTTTACTCATACCATCCCATTCAAACTTCAAAATAATCCTGGAAGGTAGGTACAATTTTTCTCATTGTATAGAAGTTACACAGTCAATGAGAGGGATAAAACCCAGATTACCAGACTCAAGCTAATGTGCTTAGCTGATGCCTCAAAGAGGTTTTGTGAAGGTAGTAATATTTGAAGTGGACCTAGAAGGGAGGTAGGATTTGAGCATATAATCAGTTTCTACATCTGTAAAATGGAGAAAATGATACTACCTACTTCACAGAATTTTTACGAGGATGAAATAAAGGTTTAAAGTAAAGTGCTTAGAACAGTGCCTGGGAATAGTAAGCTCCATATGTTCATTAGCCATTATCATTGCTACTAGTTTCATTAGTAATGATGATGGGATGAGGCGGCCAGGTACAGGGAACGGCTGAGTCCAGTTTTAAGGCATCTTCCTAAGTGCGCTAGATGGGAGTGGCTGAGCCCACTGAAATGCTTATTAGGGAAGAGAGTAAGTAAAAAGGTAAGGAAAAAATTATGGGAAGATGCATCTTCTCCAGGAGATGTCTCCTGATTGCCCTAAATGAGTCTGATCTCTGCACATATCCATATCCCCTCCTACTAATGTTGCATTTGCGTATGTCCTGCTCCGTTAGGGTCCACTTTGTCCCATTATGGATTTAGTTGCTCAGTAGGCACTGGGGAATGTAATGGCATCAATAAAAGGTGGCTGGGATTTATGG